TATATATATATATTACCATGACCTTTTAATTCATTCTGCTATTTATTTTTCAAACTGTGTTGCTAATTCAGGAAAATCTTTATTGTCCCAAAATAAACTGAGTAAAAAATCCTAGAAAAAAGGCAATAATTACAATTACATTTCGCATGTTATTTAAAGGAGACATATCATGCTTTTAAATCTTTCTTTTCCTTATTTAAATCATTTAGTTGGTGGTCTATATAAAGTGGTACTGCAGTGCTTTGGTATGAATTTCTCCTTATTGTAACTCCACAAACCCCTCTTCTGCCCCTTTTCTGAGGTGGGTCTAAGAGCAACTTGTTTTGAGGCTGTCTCTTTAAATACAAAAATTGCGCTTCACACCCCGCCCCCTCCATCTTCCAGACCGGCCATTGTATCGTGATAGAGGGGCTTATGACTATAGTGGCGTAGAAAATATTTATTTACAAATTAATTAAAAGTTGTCAACAAGGGAAGACTTGTTCTTCCAGCCTTACGTGTTGGAGCCAGAGTCTGCCCCAGAGCCAGAGGAGAATGAAGACGATTAAATTTTAGTTGGTAAGTCCAGACTTTATTTAGAAGTTCTGTTGCAAATTCTGTGATGTAATAATTCAGAAAACGTCATAGAAAATAGAGAAAACTGAATTAGTTTAAAAATATGACCCAAACAGATTAATAAGTTATCTACGCAGCACCGAGAAAAACTCAGCTTTTCTGCACGCCTAGAGACTCCCAAGTACAACAAAATGTATTTAAGGGCTAGAAAAGTGTATTTTGCATGATATGTCCCCTTTAAGACAAATAAAAGACGCTTAGGTCACAGTGACATGAGCAAATTATTTCGTCATAGATATAATATCTCAGGATAAGCTGCAACTCCAAAAATGATTTGTCATTTGGTATTGCATTATCTGTTGAGGTTTAAAAGTTCAGATAAAAACTTCTAAGTCACTCTCCTGATAGATTCATCAAAACTTAACCAGTTTTTTTTAGATATCTGGTCAGGACCTACTGCAGTAGCAAAGGAGTGGCACATCTTATGAGTGAGGAAGACCTTTAAGTCTTCTGCTATAAAAAAACACCATTAAAAGTATGTTTGCAGGGCAGAGCTGTACAATGATCCAACAAGGTCCTGTTCTTGTGAAGATAGTTAAGAATTAACGTGCGGGTGGTGTGTGACTCGGTTTATGTTTTGTTTTAAACTCAGGCCTGCTTTAGTGAGTCTCGTGGTCACAAACATGTCTGAGGTCACTCAAAGGAAAGGTACAAGACTAGACAAACAACAGATCAAATTCCTGACAGAAATTTGATACCACAATAACCCAGTTCCAAAATATAAGCACACACGTGAGAACTGAAATTCAAGTTTGTATCAGAGGTAACACTACTTTCATGTCACCATTATTTAGGCAACATAGTTTTTCATTTAAATTTATAGCAGTTGTTTAATAAAAATTATGTTACTTTTATGTGCAAAACAATTCTGAAAGACTTCATTATAAAAAACAAATATACAAAAGTCAGTGTGTTTATAGAAGCAATTTTAGTCTTTTTTTATTCTTTAAATAAAATGCTAATCTAGGATGACTCTCTTAAATGAATAATTTAGCTTTCTAACAGAGTTGCAGTGCTGGCTTGCATTTCTAGAGATGGAAGCAAAGGTCAATGACACTTAAGTTTGCAGTAAAAATTTAACTTAGTTAAATGGAAACAACTGAAGAGGGGAGTAAACAATGCTTCCTTCTCATCGCAAAAGTAACAAAATAGGCTCATCGGTAAGTTTTCTTACGTTTCTTTAATTGTTATACCCAAATCAGCCATGAGGGCATGAAACCAGCAAGTTACTGGTCCCTGTCAAGAATTGTTTCTCAGTCTTCATCAACATCTGGATTCTCCTAATGCTGCAATCACAAGGAATTCCATCAGCTTGAGTTTAGGCCTGTCACAATAAACAATACATCAATTAATCATGTTATAAATTAAAATGAGGAAGATAAATTAAAATGAAAATAATTTTCATTTGCCGGCTTGTTTGTTTTCTTTGTGTCTCCCTCTTTTTTACTTCTTAGCGTAGAGAGGAGTGAACTCTGGTGTCGTATTTGCCAGGCCTCAAACAGACATTTAGCCAGAGGAGCGTCTTCAGTTTTCTGACACCTTCATACAGCTGGTGGTGCCTCGGGACTTCCATAAACAGGGGGGGTATATCATTAAATTAGTTTAAACTGGTCTCCAACAATATTATTGTTTATCGCAATAATTTCTGAGACAATTTATCATCCAGTAAAATTTGTTATCGTGACAGGCCTACTTGATTGTGTATTTTTGACAATCACTGTTAGCTTAGTGTCCACTACTGTTAGTTTTTTTTTCTTTTTGGTTTCACGAGGGTTGACATAGATAGGATGAGATGCATCTGTTTAGCCTCAGTTGAATTAAATGTTACATTTGTTCATAAATCATAATATCATAAATTTATGCATATTATAATAATAATATCAGTTACAATAACACTGACTTCCAGCTCATAGATACAACACTCAACTAAAGTGTCAGAACCGCATCTGATTAAACTGTTTCATTGTAGATTGGTTTAGGGACAAAACATATGGAAAAAAATTGTCAAAGTAACTCTTGACAGGACAAATTTCACCCTGAATCAAAATGTAAACAGCACATGATGTCCGTAATAAAACACAAAGGCATTGGAAATGATCAAACCAAATAGTAAATGAATTAGAAATATGTATGTAGTTCATCCAAAGAAACACATCCTAGTTAAATAAAAATGTATGCTCTTTTTATTTCCTGCTGTTTTAATTTTGTTTGTATCTAATTTGGATGTTGGGGTTGTTATAGTTTGTAAAGGCAGCACAGTAAAGACAGAAGCAATCAGCTCTTTAAATATATTTGAAGTCATGTATTACTGTCGCTCTTCCTTTGTCACTGGTTGGTTGTTTTTCTGTTTCACAGTGGAGACTCTAAGTTACTAGAAGAGGCTGTTGTTCCTCTGGCCAAATCCCTCAGTGAGTTCAGATTTTGCCATAAGTTGATTTAAGTTGGTGCATGCAAAATCTATACTGTAATCATTTAATGTGTTGTTGAACATTTTGTGTGTTTAATAACATTTTTTTTTGTCTCTAGTTGAAAATAATCCCAGAACGGGGAACTTTGGTGCTCTTGTGAGAATTTTTCTGGGAAGAACCAAAGAGCTGAAAATTTCTACAGAATGCAAAGAGTAAGTCTAAAACTCATCATTAAACTCAGATGAATGAGTTAATGATGAACACTCGTCTGTTATTCCTGTTTTTGCACTTTCCTTAATGGAAATGCTTTCTTCAAACATTTTCCAAGTGTGATATATTTGATTGATTGAGTTAAATAAATCTGAGCTGGTTTTGGAAACAATGGTTCCAATTTATAGTTAAGCTTAACTCCTTCATATGAACATAAATAACTTATGTATCAGAAAGATTAACTTAACTGGAACCAACTTCCTTCTTGCAACATTAGAAGGGTTGTTGTTAGTTATAAGTTAGGTTTTTCAATTAAAAAGATGAGACATGTTTAAAAAATATATATTGTTAATGTGGAAAATATTATATCTGGGAAGTGCTTAAGGACGATATACTTTTATTGTAGAGTCATCCAGAGGATGGGTGGATTGAGATTAATCTCTTGCTGTGGTACAAGTCTGCCACCCAGTGTTAGTATTGTGCACATTCACTCTAGAAAACCAGTTCAAAGTTCAACTTGTATAGATTCAAACTAAATTTTTTGTTTTCGTTTGTAGCAAAACACAAATAAAAAAAATTCTACAAAATTTTGCAGAAATATCTGTTGACTTTAGTTGATATTTTTTGTGTGTTTGTTTTGTTTCTTTTCCCACAGTCAGTTGTTCATCTGGCAGGCACACAACGCTCTGTTCATGATTCGCTGCCTGCTCAAGGTCTTCATCAGACAGATGAGTGAAGACGAGCTGCACCAACAGTTCTCCTACCAGGAGAGGGCACCGGGCTACTGCGCAGGTGAGACGATTCAGAAATGGATTGTGCGTCAGATTGAAATACAGTCGTAAATAAAAGCGATCGTGCAAAAAGTTCATATCAAACAATTCAAACAGCTGAGATTCTGTGTCTTACTAAGACTTTGTGAACCTTATTTTTTTTTTCATTTTTTTAAATAACATTGTTTGGGATTGTGTACATGCAGCCTAGACAGCCATTCATCAATTTCCTGCTTCTTATTTGGCTCAGGACATGTTGGTTTGAATAAACTAATGATTAAAGCTTGTATGTGCTTTGACACACTGACAAAACATAAAAAATCCAAACCATTTTATTCTCTTGTTTATTGCATTTATGACTGTGAATCAAATATTACATATATTGTGTTTATAATAGTATAAAGTTTTTATTATCTAACCTCCTTGAGTGCAGAGAGGGACTGGGAGATAAAAAGATGCAAGAAAAGCTATTATCAAGCGGGATCAGCCATATATATATATA